GTTTTTTTTTTTTTTTTTTTTTTTTTTTTTTTTTTTTTTTTTTTTTTTTTTTGCTATAGAAGGAGGCAAGTAGTTAATTTTGTAAATATGGTGGATCCCATTAGCAATAGGCATTTGGTATGGTAAATGTTTTTGAGTTTCTATTCCTGGTTTCATCTATCTGTCTGAGCGCCTCTGGTGATATTTTGCGCATATTTCATGTGACTGAAGACTTTGTGCATGCGGATGTTCTCACGATTTTATACCTAACTAAATTTCTTTTATCAACGTGAAAAGTTTTGGATTTTGGCAAGTTGTATTGCTTGGCTCAGATAGAAACTGATTATTATCATTTATGCATTTTTTTTATCTGCAGTTCACAAGATTGGAAGGCTAGGTTAAAGATTCCACCACCTGATACACGATATAAAACAGAGGTATCCTACTGATAATTTTCGTAATGCTCTACAGCCAGTTTATAGCATATCGACTGCTGAATGCTCATTGATCCGTATGCAGAGGAATGATAGATTAGTGTTATTTTGATATTTTAATTCTTCAATGTGCTTTCTGTCTAGTTCATGCAAACTATAAATTCTCATTGGCCTCTCTGTATGAAAGCACACCTAATTTTGTTACCTTCTGACTTGCTTATTAACCATTTTCAGGATGTGACGGCTACCAAAGGAAATGAATTTGAGGACTATTTTCTAAAACGTGAATTACTCATGGGAATCTATGAGAAAGGCTTTGAAAGACCATCTCCTATTCAAGAAGAAAGTATTCCGATCGCTTTAACTGGTAGTGATATTCTTGCTAGAGCGAAGAACGGAACTGGAAAGACAGCTGCATTTTGCATTCCCGCCTTAGAAAAGATTGATCAGGATAACAATGTAATCCAAGGTTTGTTTTGAACCTACATTAAGAGTCTTATATTATTTCTAAACACATACCCATTATATTGAGATTCATTCTAATATTCAAATTCTAAATAGCATTATTGCTATCCCAAACATTCTCAATGCACGGCAGTTCAACCTGAGTTTTTTCATCAGGCATCAAAATTCTTCCCAACAACATTCTTCCTTTGTTGCCCCCTTCTTCCACCAGAGCATTGATTCTGGCCACAGAGCTGGTGCTCATGTTGAATCTCATTCTTGAGGTCTTCCCATGTTTAAGACATGAAACCAGTATCTTGTTAATGTCCAAAGGAAAAAGAAATGTCACTTGCAAGTTGTAAATCATGAGATAGATTCTGTTCTTTCCTTAAAAAAAAACACCTTCCACAAGACTAACCTCTTGAGTTCTATGCATTAATCGACTCAGTTTGCCCACCCCACGGTGAAAAGAAATGGTGAAGGCATTTTGTCTAGGGCCTGTGCTAATTTCAACCTCTACTATTATTTTATACGCCCCAATAATTTATTTTATGACTAATTTTAAAACGTGTCATTTCATTTTTCCACTAGGCACAGGAGATGATTGGTCAAAATGCTGTTATGCCACATTTTGATGGCAATATTGATTCCTATCTCAGTTTGTTTTGTTCACTTGTTTGACATTTGTTTTAACTTTCTATGTGAACAGTTGTTATCCTCGTTCCAACTCGAGAGTTGGCTCTTCAAACTTCACAAGTGTGCAAGGAACTCGGAAAGAATTTGAATATTCAAGTTATGGTTACAACAGGTGGTACCAGTTTAAAGGATGATATCATGCGACTATATCAACCAGTTCATTTATTAGTTGGAACTCCAGGAAGAATATTAGATCTTGCAAAAAAGGGTGTTTGTGTGCTGAAAGATTGTTCTATGCTTATCATGGATGAGGTAATTACATGAGATATGAATGCAATAATAAATACTGAAAGATTGTTCTATGCTTATCATGGATGAGGTAATTACATGAGATATGAATGCAATAATAAATAAGTGACTTTGTGTCGATATCATTATATTTTTCAGTAGGAATTAATCCTATAATATTGCAATGGTAGGGTTATATCAACTAAATGATTGTTTGACTAGATTATAGATTGATCATTGAACAATGACATTGGCGGCAAGTATATCAACTAAATGATTGTTTGACTAGATTATAGATTGATCATTGAACAATGACATTGGCGGCAAGTATTAATTGCAATCTATCCTTGTGTACTTGAGAATCATGTTGAAGGAATCTAGTGTTAGGAAGTTTTACAACATAGTATGTAGTTAATTTGTTTTCTCTCTCTAGTTCCTACTGTTTTTACCTCATCAACTGTTCTCAGGATTGGTAAAAGATGTAATATTTCCATCATGAGTTACTGCTGTTATAACTTCTACCGTTTTATGCTTACTCCAACATTTTAATATTTTTTTTTAAAACCCGAGTTTTTTCTTGATACACTGTAGACGACTCAGTTTTGCTTGGGACTGTCCTCTCCCTGCCTTTATCACCATCCCTTTCATTTGCTCAAGCATTATCTTGTCTCTTATACATGTTGCATAGTAGTGTGATGTGTCAAATTTATGTTTTTATTTTCTTACCTAGTTCTCATTTCCCCCCAAGAATTAGTGTATGGTTGCTATTGCTGAAAGAAAGCTTTCATGTTCTTGAGTAAATAAATCTTTGGGGTAGTACTAGAAGTTAAGGTTACCACATTCAGGAATATATGCCTATCGATCAAATTTATCTTGGCTCAATAGTTTAACTTGTTGCAACAAACTAATCATTTTGTTGTTCTGTTTTTCAGGCAGACAAGCTCTTGTCTCCAGAGTTCCAACCCTCAATAGAGCAGCTGATACGCTTTTTGCCTGCAAATCGGCAGGTTCTTATGTATTCCGCTACCTTTCCCGTTACTGTGAAGGACTTCAAAGATAGATATCTTCACAGGCCCTATATTATAAACTTAATGGACGAGCTCACTCTAAAGGGTATCACCCAATTCTATGCATTTGTTGAAGAAAGACAAAAAGTGCACTGCCTTAATACTCTTTTCTCTAAGGTTTGATCCCAAGCAAGCTAATTATTTTTCTTGATTTCCTCCGACTACATTCTCTTTTCCTGTGTAAATCACAAAGTTAATGTTTCTATCTGCAGCTGCAAATTAACCAGTCAATTATCTTCTGCAATTCGGTAAATCGAGTTGAGTTGTTAGCCAAAAAAATTACTGAACTTGGTTATTCTTGTTTCTATATTCATGCAAAGATGCTGCAAGATCATCGTAACAGAGTATTTCATGACTTCCGAAATGGTGCATGCAGAAATCTCGTTTGTACTGGTATGCCAAGATGTTTGCTTCTTTTATCTAAAACTTGATCATGAGTTATTCGACTACAACCCATCCATAGGAAGGAGATTAGAATAACACACTCCGGCTTGTTATCAACAAGCGTAGACGCCGTAGAGAATGAAATGTGGCCCATGCCGGATTAATCGTATTCTGGGCCGGCCGTCAATTCCTTTGAGTTTCGGTCTTGCGACCATTTGTGTGCGCATAGTTATCCATGCATACAGCATGACTTTTTTGTTTTAAAAAAATAATTTTAAATTTGAAACATCCTTTCTTTATTGCATCTTTTTAAACTGTACATTTTTCTTTTCCCTTTTTTCAACATACATATCTTGTACACAGTTACATGCCAAAAGAAAATCTATAAAACTATCCCATTTGTTCTGAACTAATTTCTTTTGATATGGGATGCACTTGCAGATTTATTTACAAGAGGAATAGACATTCAAGCAGTAAACGTCGTTATTAACTTCGATTTCCCCAAGAATTCAGAGACGTATCTACACAGGGTATGTGTCACATTCAGTTCCTGTTGATTATCATTATTATTACTTATTTACCTCTCAAATCTTTTAAAATTGTTCACTTGCAGGTTGGACGATCTGGAAGGTTTGGACACCTTGGGTTAGCTGTGAATTTAATCACCTATGAGGATCGTTTCAATTTGTATGTTTTTTTTCTTTTAAAAGAATATTTTGGTTGATTACTGCCGTTTGCCATCATACATTCAGATTCACTGAAATGTGATTCTCCATACTTCAGGTACAGGATTGAACAAGAACTTGGAACGGAAATAAAACAAATACCACCCCATATTGACCAGGCAATCTACTGCCGGTAATTTGTGGTGGGCATTGGATCCCAGGGTAAACAATTGGCAGCAGGTAAAAATCGTACTGTGCTACCTAATTCTCCTTCATTATTGTACAAACACACTCACGTTTGCATATACATATTTATTGAAAAACCGATAGGCATACCTCTAGGGAAACGATAGAAATGTCTCTAGGATATTGATGGGAATACCTCTAGGGTATAGATGCTAGAAAAATTATTAGGATCAAGTAAATTACACGCTAGCTAAGGAGATGGTAATAAATAGAATGAGGGGAGTGAATTTCATACAACAATGAAATTGTTTCTTCTATAAAAAAAAAAAAAAGACAGGATTTTTATTACTTCAATTTACAGTAGCCAACAATCTTGTTTAGGTATTATGGTTTGTTATATTTAGGAGTTATTAGGCACCTCAGTGGCAGGTAGGTTGATATTATG